CTGTAGAATAAGTGCTTTTTGTTTGGGATTTTAGCAACAAATATTAAACAAACCATTCCCCCTATAATGTAGTCCAACATCCCATCTTACTCTAGAGCAGTGTTTCCCAAACTTGGGTCTCCAGCTGTTTTTGGACTACAACTCCCATCATCCCTAGGTAGCAAGACCAGGTCAGGGATGATGGGAATTGTAGTCTGAAAACAGCTGGAGACTCAACATTGCTGTAGAGTAGCCAAGAAACAGAACCCCTGACTATAGCAATTCATGCTTGGTTGCATCTGGAGTGGACTACTGCCATGCATTCTATATGGGGCTACCATTGGGAAGTGTTCAGAACAGCTGTCTGATGTTGCCACTCCATTGTTGACTGGAGTGTAAGTCACACCAAGCTATTTATACCAATTTTACAACAGCTAATTAGCTTCCAGACCCAATCCAAAGTTCTGTTACTGACCTTTAACACAAGAGAGAGAACTATTCATTAGGTGGGTGGTTGTAAAATGAAACCATTCTCAAAGGTTGGGGGGAATTTTCAGGCGGCGTTCTTGCTTACCTTATCTAGTCAGGTGACCCAGTGTTTTTTTTGGGGGGGGGGGCTTCCTCCCTTGTTTTTTCTGCTTTTAATAATCAACTGCATGGAAAATTCTAAGTTGCATGTGTGAAGAATCTCCTTAAGATCTGCATCAATTTCTGAGAAGACATGGAGGCAAATGCTTAAACAGGGCTTATGGTTCTCTCTATTCAAGTCAAGCCCTGTTTTGAAAATTAAAAAAAATCACAATCCGTGTTTACTGCGCTCTAAATGTTCTTGGACTAAAACACCCATCTGCCTTAGTCAGCATAGCCTGTGGCCAGGCATGATGGGAATTGTAGTCCAGACAGTATGGTGTGGTGGTGATGGTGCTCACCTGATCTTTCAACAGCTGAGTCACTGCTGCTTACTAGGAAGGCATGGTGGTGAGGCAACAAAGAGGTTGACACAAGGCAAACATCAGCAGAGCCAATTTGGTGCTCCTGCCAGTGTGTTTGAACTGCCCCTCTCCTTCCTGGTAAGCAGCAATGGCTCCAGCTGTTTGGAGGTCAGGTGGTGCTCACCTGACCATGCACCATTACCCCACCACACTGCTCGTTACTGGTCCAAACTCACTGACTATCCCTGGATTATGATCTTGCCTATGGAAGCAAATGTTGCAGTGAATTAAAGGACTGTGTAATAAATTCATGGAGCTCTTTGCCCTAGCACTGTGCCGAGCATGCTGTCCTTTCTACATGTCAATATGGTACATTCTAAAAACTAGTTATCAGATCATCAAAGGCCATTCAAACAATTTCCTCTTTTGTTCTGTTCTTCTCCCTTACATTTGCCCAAATGGTTGTGACATTATCAAAATTTGCTGTTCTCAGAATAACAGGCGCTGAACATTGTATGTGGTATAATAGTGTACAAAATGGAGGTAAATAATGGGGAACTAATGGAGACGTCTGGCAAGTGAATCATCATTTTTGACCTGAGGAGTTTTAAAGCTAGCTTTAACTAATATGCACAGTTGTACAATATAATAGATGCATTACAGGAAGGAAATAAAAAGGTGGGTGTAAATATATTGAATTAAAAGGGCCATGGCTTTATTAAAGGAAGAGAAGGACACCAACTTTTAATGATTTTGTGGCCCAATCAATCTGAGTGTGAAACATGAGTGATGAATTTGGGTAGGGACATTCCAATTATTTTTGTGATTGGTGGGCCAAAGGGATTAAGAAAGAACAAGCTCATTCCAAGCTGATATAAGGCACTTCTTTCATCTCTAGTTTTTCTCCCATAGGAAGGTATCAATGTAGCTTGCGAGTCATTCCATTAATTTCAAAATCTCAAGTTGTATATTTCTTAAATAACTATTACACCCTTCCTCAGCAAATACTCTCCCCACTGAACATATAGTCTTTCAAAGCTATACCCAGATGCTTAATTACTGGGTGCTCCACCTTACAAAAACCCAGCTCGTATTCCTAATTATATCCCTTTAATCTGGCAAGGTTCACACTTCTTTATAATGCCCTTTTCTACTCAAGCTATCCTAAACCTTCTAATCAACTAATTAAGGAGACTAACTTTCCTCTAGACTTTTATCATCAATTCAAGGATGGCTACTTTGCAAAGATCATTCTCACTATCATGGCTTGTGAGTACCTGGAGAAATTACTTCTGCTTTGCCTTTTGGTGGAGCAGCACATTGTGAGCCAAAGTGACGGATACAATCCACTGAGTCCTTAGATCACCACTAATAGCTCATTTCCCTATACAATTTCCAGATTGTGGCCACAAATCCACATTCTCAAAAGAAATATCTAAAAGAAAAGAATGGATAAAACATGTATTCTTCCTCTAAACCCAGCTGCAAGCAGACCAGTGTCTCTTTTCATGATGGCATCCTCTACAGTTCCATAAGGCCACAAATATTCCTTATTTACAGTAGATCTTCACTTGACTGTCCAGAAGTCCCTATGAATGCATTTACTATGTGTCCCTTATGTGGTGAACTGGATTGCATCCTGCCATGGCATGCAAGGAACCAGATCACCACTTAGATAGTGGTACTGGGATGCTTCAGGCCTCCACCATCTCAGGGAGCCCAGCAGCACCCTTGGTTGGCTCTGGTGGGCAATGCCTGGCCACCAGCAAAGATGAAACCTATGCCTGGGCTATACAAGGAAGTCTAAGACTGAGGTGGCTCCAGTGCTTCTGGACATCAGTTTGCCACTGGTTGACAGAGCTAGGAAGGTATTTTACCAACAGTTCAATGTGGGGCCTTGCCTGTAGGGATTTTGCCTTTCAACAAGAGTATATTTTTGGTATTTGTCGTAACTTGGTGAGGGAAGGCTTTGGGAAGGATCCTTATCTGTAGAGGAAAGAGCCAAAATGAATCTTCAGTGAAGCCTAGCTTGGGGTGCCAACACCACACACAACCAAGTTGCTGTGGGAGACTCCATACCATGGTCTCATAGCAACTCTTTAGGTTGCCATGCAGATGGGTTGGGTGAAAAATTGGACCAGCAGGTAGGCTACCTGGGGAGAATCAGAAGCACCAGCTTCTCGAGAGGATTGTGGGCTCTAAATATGGAGGGGGCCAGCCCCCTAAAAAAATAAAAATAAAATTGGGTCGAAACTGCACTGGCCCTTAGGAGTTGGTGCCTATGGGGACAATGGATTGTTTTCCCATGCTATGATTTCACCCATACAGAGCCTCTTTTGGTTCTTTCTCCTGCCTGCCTGTCTCCCTCCCTGGCACACAAATGCTTATCTGTTACTGAAGTAATGTAGTGTTCTTAAAATAAATGGAAAGCCCAAGCTAGATAATTTGGAAGGTGAGTTGTTTTAAGAGACTGAAAACAACCAAACTACTGCATTTTTATCCAAAAACCGTATGCCCATCTGTAATTACAGAAATACCTGAGATTACTATAATTGAAAAAAATGATAACATTTGCCTATCTTCTCACAGATTGCTTATTTACAGCATGTGACAACTGTTTCTGTTGAGCAATTTTCTCATTTCCTTTTCACATAGACTTATGAATATCAACAAGCATGCACATAGAAAAATACTGTTGGTTGGATTTATTTTTTAAAAGGTCTAAATTAAACAGGTTGATTATAGCCACTTCATGTAATGGTAATGAATAATGTGAAGTTGGAAGTGAGGAAAGCGGGAAAATTGCATATTCTTAGGCACATATTTTCAACAAAGTCTCTGAGATATGTAGGTTGAAGCATGAATCGTCAGCACCATCATGATTATGGCCAAAAGTAATTTTGCAAGGGCTGTGATGAATATTCTCCCATTTAAATTTCTGGATAGAAAATAACTCTTTGAATTGCCAAGAAGTCATTGAAAGAAAAAAGCACTATTCCTGAAGAAAAATGTTCTTAAAAACAATATCAGATTTCTTTAAAAGTTACTTGCATAATTTATTTCCAACACATTCAGCATAGATTTATGTTCCCAGGGAGACTTATCAGAGTAGTAAGAAGCAAAAAGAACAATTTAAAAGAATAATAATATTTATAGCATACCAACCAGTACAGAAAATTTAAACAACAAACCAAACCAATAGTAACCAACAAACCAAACCAAACCACACCACGTTGGGTCACAGCACATGGGGGAATGGCAGCCCGCAAAGGCACCCCCCAGAGATGGTGAGTGGACTTATGGGTATAGAGGCTAAACCAATAAAAAATAAAAAAGCATATATTTATTAATCACAACTTCAAAACTCTGTGGAGCCTTTTGTGTCCTTATAGGGACCAGAAGCATCTTTAGACAATTCAAAAGGAAAAACTGGGCAAAATTGATCAATCAAAATAATGCATAAGGTGCTTGAAATGGTTGGGTATTCTAATTTCTCTTTGAAACAGTGGCTTTCATGTGTTGGACTATGCACAGCATAAGAGATGCATCAAAATAGCTTTCTGACTCACTGTGGCAAAGCTCATTAATATTATAATTGTTCACAATTTGATACACAGGTCTAGAAAATGTTAATCAATGAACTCCAGATGACCTGTTTCAGATCTTGTTCTTACTTGATAGAAAATGATCTGATTCTTTATTTATTCAGTGAGCAAGTGAATTATATTGTTATGATTCTCTGTAACCAAACAGGTCTCCTGGAATAATCCAGTCTTTTTATGCATTATCCCATGAGTCAGCCAAACATTTAGCTCTTTAGTATAGAAACATTTACATTTATCACACAATCTTTTTTATTTTCGGTATTTCCCTGGACATTTTAGAACGTTCCTTTTTGAAACCTGCATTTGCCACTAACATTTCCATCTGTGTTGACTGAATAAATTGCTCCAGAGTCCCCACAGTACAACTGTTTTTGTCATTCTTCTAAAAGCTACTGTTCCATTATTTTTGAACACGACTCCTCAGTGCTTAAAACAGAAAGCGTTGTAAAGCAGAAAATAAATAACATTAACAATATATCATTGTTCTATGATTCACGCCATCTTGGATACTAATGGGCATATGATTCACGCCATCTTGATGTTATGGCGTGAATCATATGTCCATTAGTATCCAACAACATAATTCCCTCTTTTCAAGTGCCCACAGACTTCACCTCAAACACTGAAATGAATCGGGGGGAGTTCCATGGGTAGGTTTGAGTTCTATGCAATTTGGCACTCAAGCCAATGAAACTGATTCAACATCAGTGAAGCACTGCAGTCTATAAATGTTGTACACCAAGCACATAAATCATTCCTAAGGGCTTTAAAACATAAGAATTGTATCTTCCCTGACCCCCCCAATAAAAAAATCACTACAAATTTGACAGGTACAGAAACGCCTCCCTGAGCAGAATAATAAAATGAGTTGATACCGTACAAAATATTTTATATGAAAGGAACTTAGTTGTTCACTTGGGAGATGTTGGAGAATTATTATTTTTTTGGTCCAGCCTCAGTTGATACAGCTGTTCTTGAGGCACATGACAACACAAAATCACTGCCACTTGATCATATGGGTGACAGTCCCTTATGAAACATGCATTCAGTATCTCTCTGGATTGTGATAATCTTTCCCCAGCAGAAGTGTGGGGTCATGTATCTCTGTGAGAGTTTTTGATCCCATGAGTCAGCCAAACAGAGAAACAACCTCTCCTAATCAATTTTAAGTTAGAGACACTTGAAAATTATGAATATTACTGTGAGGCCCAGGCGAAAGGTATGGGCTAAAAGTTACAACTTAGGTAAATCCTGACATTTGTTGCTCCATTTATTTCATTCAATGGGATTTCAGCTGGGTAAAGTCTTGCTTTAAATCTGGGGTGGGGGGAGATGACTTAACAGGAAACTTAGATAATGGTTTGTTCAAGGTCTTTCATTACTGAGAAAATCAAATGCAAATCAAACCTTCCTCCATAACAGCAAATCCATGATTTATTAAACAGAATATTTCTGGCCACAATAAGACTGCACATTTCAAGGATACCAAGTCCAGAAAACAATTACTTAAGTCCAAATTGGAATTGAAAAGAGAAGTAAACATGTTTCTTCTGTGTTAGTTCATTCTGAAAATTGTTATTTTAGTATCTTTTAATGTTTTAAAATATACTGAAGAAGTAAAATTGGTAGTAATTGGAATAAAAATGGTAAGAATCAATTTACTAAAATGCACACAGTGTACTTTTCATCTTAATAACAGACACAAATGGAACATCTCTCATTGAACTAACTTATACGAAAAAACACTTCATGAAATGAGCCAATTAGAAAAGGTCACTAATTATTTCCTACTAATACTGCTACTTGATTTTCTAGCGTTTTATTTCAACTCTTTTCCCTATTTCAGTACTTCACAGAGATACCTCCTCCTAATCAATTTCAAGTTAGAAACACTTGAAAATTATGAATATTACTGCCAGGCCCAGTTTTCAAATCTATAGACCCATTTCATCATCTATAGAATCAGTAAGGGTAACTAAATATTAACACAGATGTCTAGGGAATATGGTATAGAATACTGAATACAAATATAATGCTAAACTGTGGACTTAAACTTCTCATTTCTACTGTTATTAACATGAATCTAAGCAACTAAGCTTCACAGCTTCTCTGACTCATTGTATGTGGCCTTAATTAGATGTAATTGAGTTTTTTGTTTCTCATATAACATGCTGGATTTAGTGGAAATACTTGCCACCTTTCAAGTTTCTTGTCTTCACGCTGTAGAAAATCCTTTTGTTCCTAAGTTAATGCAGACTCTACTTTATTAACTGTTTTAATATGTTCATCTTCTTGCAGAATTAAAGTATAAAAAGAAAAGAAAGTCAGTTGCCTCAAATTAGCATCCATGTAGTATTTTTTCCCCTTTTTTAACAAAGGAAATTGTCATTTGAAATCTCTTTGTTATGGATAATAAATGTTCTCTCGCAGTAAGAAACGGAAAAGTAATTTCAACTTACAAAAATAAAAATTTACAAAGCACACCAACACAGTTCTTATAGAGGCTCTATGGGCAATTTTAGTAAAGCAAAGAACTCCCAACACAATGGTAAATACAGACAACAATGTACATAAAAAGAACCAGATTTAATCCACGTATTTATTATTGTATATTTAAAATTTTACATCCCACTTTCCTCATGAAAGAAAGCGAAGGTGACTTTCACCAGTACCCTTGCTACATTGATGAGTTTCCCCAAAGTTAGTGTACAGTCAGCTGAGCTTGAACATTGGACAGGGTATAAAGAATCTTGGTCTGATTTGGTATGAGAGGTGTTTGTACTTTTTTCCCTACTAAGTATCATAGTGGAAAAATGTGGATCTTACACGCTGAGTACAGCAGCTGCACCTGATCTTCTGCAAACAGCCCATGCCCCAAAACTTCTCAAGAAAACTTAAGAAATGCCTTTACTTGGCAGTATGCAACACAGAAATCCCTGACATAGAGACAGCCAGAGAAAAGTGGAATGGAGTAGTATATACCCATGTAGTATATACCCATGGTGACAGTAGTCACAAAATTAAAAGACGCCTGCTCCTTGGGAGAAAGGCGATGGCAAACCTAGACAGCATCTTAAAAAGCAGAGACATCACCTTACCGACAAAGGTCCGTATAGTTAAAGCTATGGTTTTCCCAGTAGTGATGTAGAGAAGTGAGAGCTGGACCATAAAGAAGGCTGATCGCCGAAGAATTGATGCTTTTGAATTATGGTGCTGGAGGAGACTCTTGAGAGTCCCATGGACTGCAAGAAGAGCAAATGTATCCATTCTTAAGGAAATCAGCCCTGAGTGCTCACTGGAAGGACAGATCGTGAAGCTGAGGCTCCAATACTTTGGCCACCTCATGAGAAGAAAAGACTCCCTGGAAAAGACCCTGATGCTGGGAAAGATGGAGGGCACAAGGAGAAGGGGACGACAGAGAACGAGATGGCTGGACAGTGTTCTCAAAGCTACAAACATGAGTCTGACCAAACTGCGGGAGGCAGTGGAAGACAGGAGTGCCTGGCGTGCTCTGGTCCATGGGGTCACGAAGAGTCGAACACGACTAAACGACTAAACAACAACAAACAACAATACCCATGTAACACCTGCAGAATTGAAAAATGATCTAAGTAACATTAAAACAGCCACCTGTGCCATCAGACAGAGTCCAATCCAACAGTAAATACTTCACTGAGTTTACTGGATACCAACATACCTTAAACACCTGGGCATTATACCCATGGGCAGCTTTTGGAAATGTAGTCAACCACAGGCAGACCCAACTGACCTACGGTATTCAAACCCTTCTGGAAGGAAATGCAAACTAGAGTCACTCTGGTCCTAAACAAATCTCTGTCAATCAACACTGCAATTGTAATAATTGACCACACACATTGTGGGAGGGCAGAAAAGGTGGTTCCACCAGGCCATGTTCATAGCTTCCAAGAGATCTATAACGACGTTTTGAAGCTTTTTGCAGAGTAATCTCCTGGACCAAAAGAAGTGAGTGGTTGATGAAGTGCTTCCGCTAGCACAAGGTTTTCTACCTGTGCAACTGAACTGCTCCCTCTCTTTCCCCTGTGTGCCCTTGCCTCCAAACTGTTCTAGAAAGTTGGGGCAACTCCCAGAACAGATTAAGGGGGCATATGGAGAGAGGAGGGGAGGGGTTCTGATGCACAGCCAAGTTGTTGCACTAGTAGAAGCACTAGTAGATACCACCCTGAGAGGCACAGCACAAGAACTAGAACTCAGCAGTTGCTTAGCTAGGCACTAGACACAGCCTTGATGGTCACCTATTTTTTTACTTGAGCATGCAAATTTGAACACTGCGTTGTTTTAAAGCAATTGCATGAGTCCTGGAATAGGAAAAATACAGGATATAAATATAATGGTGAAGCATGGGGCTGGATCTTTAGCTGAGCAGGTACTCCATTAAAGTGGCCCAAGAGGGATGACTCTGTCTGGGAGTCCACACAGGGGCCAACAAGCCAAAACACCTCTTCCGCTGGCAGCCTGTGTTGGGTCGTGTCACCCGGTCCACATTGGGGTTGACTCCCCAGCACGGCCGACCCCACTAGGTTCCTATCAGCCGGCATGTGGGCTTTCTGATGCTGGATACATGCCCAATGCCTAAGCAAACCTACTGACATCTGTAATCAATAATGTTGTGGCCTAATTTCAACCCAATACCCATCTCCTATGTTCATTTCCATGTTCTACCCCACACCGGACTGTGGTCATCATGCCTGTGACAGCAATAGTCAGCAAAAATTAGTGGATTTATACCACTAGTAGATTTATGTCCACACACCAACCTGCTTTAATAATTGTTCTATGAGGCTGCCTCGATGCTACCACATTACTGCTGACTGAAAAGCTATAGCTCAACAATAGAATTCCCTCTCCCTCAGAACAGGTGTGATCTTTATGAATGCACAATAAAAAGGATGTTTCAGAGTTAACTGAAATATTTCAGTGATTGATTATAATTGGTATGGGGGTATTATGGTATGGTATTGGGGGAAAGAGGGAATTATTTTGTCATTCATGTAATGAAGCCTGGCAAATGTTCTCCTCGTTTTCTTGATTTGCCAGTTCTATTCATAGCAGGCTGATAGTAGACATAGCTGTAAAAACCAAAGATTGAATGCAAGGTGGTACACAATATATTTGTTAAATTCAGCTACTACTTAAATAATACATATATATGTCTTCTTTATATGTTATTTAGAACTCTTTGTTTTTATTTCCTTTAATTCCTAGTGGCATCCCAATGTAATACACACACACACACACACACACACACACACACACACACGACTGGCATTTTTGGGAGGTGGCTGTTTGCTTGCTTGCTTGCTTTTTATTTTTTTGATTTAGAATCACAATTATAGTTTGTCAGGTGATGTTTACAAGCCTTAATTACAGCCTAGACTTGAGTCAAGAAACCCCTTGAGTGGATGATCCCATTATCAGAAGGTGGGGAGCCAATTTGCACTGATTTCCCCATCTTCCTGAGAATCTCTGTGTTCTCTGAAAAGCTGCTTTGAAGGGGTTGGGGGACCCTCCAGAAAAAAAGTGAGGGTGGCATGGGGTATTTGCTGGGA